CGCAGGCGAGGCAGGGATGGTAGGGAGGGACCTGGGAAGACCAGACACAAGGAGGCGACGGTGCATGCCACGAAGGCGTGGCAAGGAGGGGTGACCCAGGCGGTGGTGCCAGAGAAGAGTCTGGTGCGACAGGGAGCGACACTCACAGGCGTGGGCCACCAGACCTGACGCAGACACCTGACCGACAGCAGCTACCTGGGGAGACGCAGTGGTCAGTGTGTAGAGACTCGACCCCGGCCGACGGGTGAACGTAGCCAGGTGACGGCCGGTCCTGGAGCACGTGCAGATCGCCACACGCTGTCCGCCAGGGGTAAAGGTGTCAACCCACTGATCCTGGAGGACAGCGTTGCTCACCAGGTTCGTCGAGAACGAGGGGAGGTGGAAACCCGACAACGAGCCAGACGGAACCGCCGGACAAGGGAGGACAGTGGTGGACTGGGCAAGGACTGGGCCCCCAGAGGGGTCAGCCAAGGAGACTGGGACCGGTGCAGGAAGCGGTGTGAGCTCAGTACTGTCACGAAAGAAGCAACGGGAAGCACCTGAGTCAAGGGTGAAGGTGTGACAGGCCTCAGCCGGTGCGGTACCTGAGAGAGGAGTCTGTGTGGGTGCTGTACCTGAGAGAGCAGACTCGAAACCAGCCGGGACAGCACTGGGGGGAGCAGGTACAGGGGGCACCATACCAGAGAGAGCAGACTCACTAGTACCCAGGGCAGCAGGCTCTATACCTGGGTCAGGCGGCACACACAAGTAACAGTCTCCCTCGGCACTAACAGTCAATGCATACATGGCAGCAATAATAGCATCATAGTCAAGAGCAAAGACATCAACACCAGCCCTCATGAGCTCAGCCCAGCGGGGGCGCTCAACATCCGCACCCATCTCCTCACGCCAAGCGTCGTCAAGGCGGGAGAAGCAGCGGTACGGGGTGTGGAACCTCCCACACGTCTGTCCCTTGCGGTCACCTGTGCGAATGACATAAGAACAGCGGGCACTGGCCCCCGACGTCCCACGCTGAGCAAGCCACTCACGAAGCTGCTGGGTCGTCTGGGGACGCTGCTGCTGCTGGGAGCTCTGGCCCGAGCCAGTGCCTCCACTCCGACCTCCGCCGCCACCACTACCACCGCTCCGACCGCCACCGCCACCACCGCCACCACCGCCACCGCCGCCACCGCCGCCGCCGCCACTACTGCCACTGCTTCCTCCGCCGCCCCCGTCTCCACCACCGACCCCACTCCCACCAGCGCTCCCGCCACCGCTCCCTCCAGCACCGCCTCCCCCCCCACCTCCCCCACCTCCTCCCCCCCCAGCGCCACCACCACCACTTTTGCCCCCCTTGCCCTTGCCGGTGCGGCGCCTCCCACCAGGAGTAGAAGCAGCGCCAACAGACTCAGCACCAAGGAAGTCAACAGCAGCAGCAGCAGCGTAGGAGGGAGCGAGGGGAGAGGGAGAACACCCCTCAAAGATGGGGGTGCGAGGAGCGCCACGAGCAGCACCGACAGCTACAATGCTCTTTTCGGCCGCGAGCAGGTGCTCCTCTAGGAGGGCGACTGTGAGCTCAGTGGGACAGCGAGCAAGGAAGTGGTCTCGAACTGAGCGGAGGGTGTCAGGGAGACGGGTGACTATGAAGTGGAGTGTCCAGTACAGTGGAGGGGGGTTCTTAGCGCAGAACTCGGTGGGAAGAGCGGCACGCAGGCGAGCATCACTAGTGCGAAGGTGGGTGATAAGATCGGCGACTGTAGTAAAGGTGGACAGATCGGGGAACAGGTACGGCAGCATGAGGCGGCTAAGCTCGGCTGTGGCAGGCGAGGAGTAGCGAGCGACGACAGCGTCGTACAGGGCCTTAGCGGATTTGCAGTCGCCAAAATGCTCTAGCTCAGCTAACGGCAGGTGACTGCGAATGGCTAGGCGAGCAGCTGCGTCACGAGTCTGCCAGTGGGAACGAACACTAAGCTCAGCTGTGGCAGGAGGGGCAGGCGCAGCACCAGACGCGTAATCATAGAGCGACACATGCTCCTTGCTATCGCTCAGGAGGAACAGCTGCAGGTCATCTAGCCAAGCGGTGAACCGCACAGGGCGGCCCTCAGCATCGAACGACAGTACGCGGATGGAAGCCATAGCGACAGTGTGACAGAGTAACGCAAGCTGCCGCAGCAGGGGAAGGCGACTGTGCACGGATAGAGAGCAGCGGGCGAGGCTGGCGCTACGGGCAGGCGGCGCTGCAAGCGGTCAGCGCGACGGGAGGGCGACGCTGCGAGCGGGCAGCTCGGCGGACGGGCCGGGAAGCGGGCAGCGCGGCGGGCAGGCGGCGCTGCAAGTGGGCAGCACGGCGGGCGGGCGACGCTGCGAGGCGGGCGGGCCGCGAAGCGGGCAGCGGGCGGGCGGGCGGACTGCGAAGTGGGCGGGCCGCGAAGCGGGCAGCGGGGCGAGCGGGCTGCGAGGCGGGCGGGCCGCGAAGCGGGCAGCGAGCGGGCGGGCGGGCTGCGAAGTGGGCGGGCCGCGAAGCGGGCAGCGAGCGAGCGGGCTGCGAAGCGGGCGGGCCGCGAAGCGGGCAGCGAGCGGGCGGGCGGGCTGCGTAGCGAGCGGGCCGCGAAGCGGGCAGCGAGCGGGCGGGCGGGCTGCGAGCGGGCGGCTCGGCGAGGGGCGCGCGAGGGCGCTAGTGAGGGGCGCGCGAGGGCGCTAGCAAGGGGCGCGCGAGGGCGCTAACGAAGGGGCGCGCGAGGGCGCTAACGAAGGGGCGCGCGAGGGCGCTAACGAGGGTGCGCGCGAGGGCGCTAACGAGGGGCGCGCGAGGGCGCTAACGAAGGGGCGCGCGAGGGCGCTAACGAGGGGCGCGCGAGGGCGCTAACGAGGGCGCTACGAGGCTAGGGCACGGGGTAGCGTGGTAACCGCATGCGAGCGGTGGTGGGCCCTAAAAAAAAAAACGGTCGGTAGGTCCTAGGGACCTCCTGCTCTGAATACCATGTCAGAAGAACTAGGCAAGAATGATGCATTGAATGAAACAGTTGGGTACAAGTAGCAAACCCTAGTTGGGGTTGTACCCCATATTGGCTACCCCACTACAGCCTACAAGCATAATGCAGTTTAACAGAGCGCCCGCTGCACTTCCTGCACGAATGCGGATCCTTCAGCATTTTGTCGGTAGAAGCGCTCATTCCAAGCGTTTTTCTTCCGCCAAGTCACGTGGCTGCGCTTGTCTGGTCCTCTTGCCAAGCTAGCAAGGGCGTGGGAGGGTTGCGAGCATCATCGGTCATCGGCGCTCGCGAATGAAGAGCGCCCGCTGCACTTCCTGCACATGTGCGGATCCTTCCGCGTTTTGGGGTTGGGAGCGCTCGTTTCGAGCGTTTTTCTTCCACCGGGTCACGTGGCTACGCTTGCCTGGTCCTCTTGCCAAGCCAGCAAGGGCGTAGGAGGGTTGCGAGCATCATCGGTCATCGGCGCTCGCAAATGAAGAGCGCCCGCTGCACTTCCTGCACGAATGCGGATCTTTCAACATTTTGGGGGTAGGAGCGCTCATTCTAAGCGTTTTTCTTCCGCCAAGTCACGTGGCTGCGCTTGTCTGGTCCTCTTACCAAGCCAGCAAGGGCGTGGGAGGGTTGCGAGCATCATCGGTCATCGGCGCTCGCGAATGAAGAGCGTCCGCTGCACTTCCTGCACATGTGCGGATCATTTCCGAGAGTTTTTCTTCCGTTGGGTCATGTGGCTGCGCTTGTCTGGTCCTCTTGCCAAGCCAGCAAGGGCGTGGGAGGGTTGCGAGCATCATCGGCCATCGGCGCTCGCGAATGAAGAGCGCCCGCTTGACTTCTTGCACATGTGCGGATCCTTCCGCGTTTTGGGGGTGGTAGCGCTCATTCCGAGCGTTTTTCTTCCAACAGATCACGTGGCTGCGCTTGTCTGGTCCTCTTGCCAAGCCAGCAAGGGCGTAGGAGGGTTGCGAGCATCATCGGTCATCGGCGCTCGCAAATGAAGAGCGTCCGCTGCACTTCCTGCACGAATGCGGATCCTTCAGCATTTTGGGGGTAGAAGCGCTCATTCCAAGCGTTTTTCTTCCGCCAAGTCACGTGGCTGCGCTTGTCTGGTCCTCTTGCCAAGCCAGCAAGGGCGTTGGAGGGTTGCGAGCATCATCGGTCATCGGCGCTCGCGAATGAAGAGCGCCCGCTGCACTTCCTGCACGAATGCGGATCCTTCAGCATTTTTGGAGTAGAAGCGCTCATTCCAAGCATTTTTCTTCCGCCAGGTCACGTGGCTGCGCTTGTCTGGTCCTCTTACCAAGCCAACAAGGGCGTGGGAGGGTTGCGAGCATCATCGATCATCGGCGCTCGCGAATGAAGAGCGCCCGCTGCACTTCCTGCACATGTGCGGATCCTTCCGCATTTTGGGGGTGAAAGCGCTCGTTCCGAGCGTTTTTCTTCCGCCGGGTCACGTGGCTGCGCTTGTCTGGTCCTCTTGCCAAGCCAGCAAGGGCGTGGGAGGGTTGCGAGCATCATCGGTCATCGGCGCTCGCAAATGAAGAGCGCCCGCTGCACTTTCTGCACGAATGCGGACGACTCGGTCCAAGGGACGACTTGGTTAAATCGAGCAGTTAGTCCAAGCGACGACTTGGTCCAGCGAGCACTTGGTCGAAGCGACGACTTGGTCCAAGCGAGCACTTGGTCCAAGCGACGACTTGGTCCATGTGAGCACTTGGTCCAATGGACGACTGGTCCAAGCGATCACTTGGTCCATGTGAGCACTTGGTTCAAGCGACGACTTGGTCCATGCGAGCGCCTGGTCCAAGTGACGACTTGGTCCAAGTGACGACTTGGTCCAAGCGAGCACTTGGTCCAAGCGACGACTTGGTCGAGCGAGCACTTGGTCCGAGCGACGAACCCTCGTTTTAGTCGTTTCATAGACATTCATTAAGGGCGTATCCAACTTCGGGTCATCCGGGCACTGTTTGGTTTGGGTCATCAGTACACTTCGGGTCATGGGCGGACCAATGGTTTTCGAGTAGTGTAGCTAAAATGCGCCTGATTGGTCTTCCAAGAATCTCGGATGACCGGAACAGTGCCGATGACTCGAAGTTGGATACGCCCTAATTATGACTTTGAGTGCGTTTCATCTCGTGAAACCCGGGCACTCATAAAAGAGGCGGTTTGCAAGCGTGACACAATGCGAAACACGAGTCCAGCAGAAGAGGAACACACCCTCTACGTTGGTTACTACCTGTTCGCCTATATTTTGATGGAAATAGTAGCCTTTTCAACCCTAGATCGCTTCTAGGTCAGTAGCAAGTAGTGGGCTTGCCGCTTTTCACCTCCGTGGAGCCAGATCGTATCCTGAGCTCCTGGAGCGATCACGAGCGGGGATCCGCGCTTGATTTCTGAGCTTCGTGGCCTCACGACAACACCTCTCAGCACCACTCAGCACCACTTGGACTGCCCGTCGCTGGCCTCATCCCTCCAGTCATTCGCGCTAGTCTCCGCTATTAGCCGTCTCGATTGTGACCATGCTGTCGCGAAGGCAGGCCTCGGGATTCGCGCGGTTGCTGGCGTCTTCTGCGCCGCGCGTGTTCCCGCTCGTTGATGTTCATGGTGAGGCGTTGCGAATATTAAATCTGGTAACCCATGGTTGGGACGATGCGATTAGTAATGTCAAGTATTCTTCACTTCGTTCACTCAGCTGTGCATGATGAGACGATTTGTCGAGACGACCTAGTGAGAAGATGCGGATTACAAACGGCGTCCTGTAGTCGATCTCGAAAATGCAACATGCTGTTCTCTTACTGAAAGCCCAATGCGAGACGATGTTAGATTCCAAGTGTTATGTTTCGTCATCACCGCACTATGAGGCTCCAAGAATCCAAGCCGTTACTACTCGCTCCAGCGGCCTCTAGGTTATTGAGTCTCTTCTACGAGCGATTTGTTTCCTACAGACGAACTTTCGCTGGAGTGTCACAATACGAAGTCCGTCGTCCCATTCCCCAGCCCTCTCCTCCTCTCTGCATTCTTGTTTCGCAAGGACCTCCCCCCTCGGCAGCAGCGCGGGCGATCTGTCGCCGTCCGTCCGAGTGTCACAGTGCGGAGCCCTTTACTCAATTTCCCAGCCCTATCTCCCTCCCCGCAATCCCTAATTTACAGGAACCTCAGCCGTCAGCAGCAACGCTGGCGATCTGTCGCCGTCCGTCGCCACCCGCACTGCGACGTCGCTCGCGGTTCGCAGCAGCGTCGCCGCGCGCGGCCCTGGCGGTCGCTCGTCGGTCAGGTGAGCGGCAAGTCTTGAGTCGACTCAAATAAGTGATTCAGTCAGGTGAGCGCCGAATCTCACCACTGTCGGCCTGAGGGTCGCCTCTCTTCCTGTACGCGTTCTTCTGCCCCCTTCCCCTCCCTGCATGTGCTCCCGTCTCCCTGCCCTGCAGTGGCATGGTCGCGACTGTGTTTGGCGCCACGGGCTCTCATCTTCTCCCCGGCACCCTTTCCCGTCCTCTCCCCTCTCCGTCTTCCCCCTCTCCTCCCCCCTGCCCTCCCGCCCCCCCTGCAGTGGCATGGTCGCCACTGTGTTTGGAGCCACGGGCTTTCTGGGGAGATACGTGGTGCAGCAGCTAGGTGAGTGATTCGCTTGCTAAAAAGTGTTTTCTTGCTCAATCCCTGCCCAAATTTCCCTATACAGTTCCTTCTTCTCTCAAGCAGTTTCCTTTTCTCTCTCTCTCTAAGTTAATTTTATGATTCCACTGCCCGCCTCCATCCAGTCACAAGTGACAATACCCCTTTCCACTCCCCCTCTCTTCCCCCCAGCCCGTTCTGGTTCCCAGGTGATGGTGCCCCATCGCTGCCTGGAGGACGATCACAGGCACTTCCTTCCATTCCTCTTAAATTCGCTCCGTCTCTCGCTCTCCCACCCACTTCCGCCCTCTCTCCCCTTCCCTCCCCCAGCCCGCTCGGGTTCCCAGGTGATGGTGCCCTATCGCTGCCTGGAGGACGACCACAGGCACCTCATTCCGTTCCTCTCGTACCTCCTCCATCTCCTCGCTCCCACTTCCCTCCCTCCCTCACAGCCCGCTCGGGTTCGCAGGTGATGGTGCCCTATCGCTGCCTGGAGGACGACCACAGGCACCTCAAGCTGTGCGGGGACCTGGGGCAGGTGAGACCTGGGAAGGTGGCACGTGAGGACAGGTTGAACTGGGGCCGGGGGGGTATGAGACAGGGGGGTGGTGCCGTATCGCTGCCTGGAGGACGACCACGGGCACGTCAAGCTTTGTGGCGATCTGGGGCAGGTGAGATACGGTGGAAGTGTTATCCGGGGCAGGTGATATCTGGGCTGTGAGACAGGAGATAGATAGGTGCCTGAGGACGATCACAGGCACCTCAAGCTGTGTGGCGACCTGGGGCAGGTGACACGTGGGGACAGGTTGAACTGGGGCCAGGTGGGGTATGGGACAGGAGAATGGTGCCCTGTCGCAGCCTTAAAGGCAGCCCTTTTAGGCTCAAGCTGTGTGGCGACCTGGGGCGGGTGGGGTCTGGGGCAGGTGGGACCTGGGACAGATAAGACCTGCGGCAGGTGAGGTATGCGGGCGGGTGAGTTGTACCGGCAGGTGAGATGCGGGCCTGCTGCACAGGTGGCATTTGGGGGAGGTGAGAGCTGGGGCACGTGGAACTGTAGGTCGATCGACCATAGGTGGGGTTTGGGACAGGAGGAGAAAGGTGCTGCTGGACAGCTGGGGTCACTTTGCTGTCTTTTATCTTCCCTTGTGGCATTTGGGGGAGGTGGTGCGAGTCTCGACTGACATGAGGAGCAATGAGAGCGTTACCGGGGTCGCTTCACTTGGACCAATGCCTTCGCTCTCTTCCTCCCACTTCACTCTCTCCATCCCATCCCATCCCATCCCCCTTTCCAATCAGGTCGTGCCGATCAAGTTTGATGTGAGGAGCGATGAGAGCATTGCTGCTGCTATCGCCAAGTCGAATGTCGTCATCAACCTCATTGGTCAGTGCCTGTGCCTGTGGAGGGTGTGCTTATAACAGGAGTAGGAACAGAACAGCTGTGGGAACAGGTGAACAGGTGTGTGAACAGGTCTTGTCAAAATGAGTTTTGAGATGTGAGGAGCGATGAGAGCATTGCTGCCGCTATTGCCAAGTCGAATGTTGTCATCAACCTCATTGGTCAGTAGCTCTGCTCTTAAGGTGTCTGTTTGATTGCGGGTTTGTCTCTTTCTTTCAATGTCGAATCAGCTTTGTCCACGCCTATCCTCCCCCCTCGTCTCGCCTCTCTTCTCTCCGTGAACACCATCTGTCATATATGCACCCTGTTGCTTGCTTCTTCCCTACCCCTGCCAGGTCGTGACTTTGAGAGGCGCAGCTTCAGCTTAGATGATATCAACGTCTCCCTGCCTCTCTCCTCCCATCTCCACTCTCCCCCTCCCCTCTCCTCCACTCTACTCTCTTCCCCTCCTTTCTCTTCGCTCCACCCAGGCCGTGACTTTGAGACGCGCAATTTCAGCTTCGAGGACATCAACATCTCGGCGCCTCTCTCCTCCCATCGTCACTTCCCCTCTGCCCTCCCTCCCCCCTTCCTCTCTCCTTCCCCCCTCTTCTCCCCCAGGTCGTGACTTTGAGACGCGCAATTTCAGCTTTGAGGACATCAACATCTCAGCGCCTCAGCGCATTGCCAGGGTGAGTGAAGCTGACCTGCGTTGACCTGCGTTGACCTGCGTTGACCTGGGCTGACGTGGGCTGTATTGAGCCGACTTCAGCTTCGAGGACATCAACATCTCAGCGCCTCAGCGCATTGCCAGGGTGAACCGAGTCAACCTGCGTTGACCTGTGTTGACCTGGGCTGTGTAAGCAACATCCCAGCACCTCTGCGCATTGCCAGGGTGAACTGAGTCAACCTGCGTTGACCTGTGTTGACCTGGGCTGTGTAAGCAACATCCCAGCACCTCTGCGTATTGCCAGGGTGAACTGAGTCAACCTGCGTTGACCTGTGTTGACCTGGGCTGTGTAAGCAACATCCCAGCACCTCTGCGCATTGCCAGGGTGAGCTGTGCTGTTTTTGCCTCTCCTCTGCTTACACCCTTTCCTCTTTCTCCATTCCCGGCATTCTCCTTGCTTCCTACACCAGATCGCCAGGGAGCATGGTGGCATCGCGCGCATGGTGCACCTCTCCTGCCCCGGCGGTTCTCGCCGCACTCTTATCCCTCTACTCATTTCCCCCTTCCCGCCTTCTCTTTTAGTCAGATCGCCAGGGAGCATGGTGGCATTGCAAGGATGGTGCACCTTTCCTGCCTGGGCGCTGCTTCCTCTGCTCCCATCCTCTGCTTACTCCCTTCCCTCGTTTCCCTTTCCCCAAACCAACCCCTCATCACCCTCAGATCGCCAGGGAGCATGGCGGCATCGCGCGCATGGTGCACCTCTCCTGCCTGGGCGCTGCTGATTCCTCTTCCCCCATTCCTCTGCCTACTCCCTTCCCTCACCTCATGTGCACCTCCCATCCATCCCTCCCACACCAGATTGCCAGGGAGCATGGCGGCATCGCGCGCATGGTGCACCTCTCCTGCCTGGGCGCTGCTCCCCACGCGCCCTCCAAGCAGCACCAGACCAAGGCGCTGGGAGAAGCAGCAGTGCTGGCGGAATTCCCACAGGTGAGTTCTGTTAAGGGGTGTGGACAGGGTGTAAAGGGTTCAGGAATTCATCTCCACTGGCCTGCCTGAGTGCTGCCCCCCACGCGCCCTCCAAGCAGCACCAGACCAAGGCGCTGGGAGAAGCAGCAGTGCTGGCAGAGTTCCCACAGGTGAGGGGCTTGAGGGTTCGCTGTTCATTGTTCAGGCTCAAGAATTCTTGGGTTCATTGCTGAGCAGCGCCCAGCACAGAACCTGGAACCCGAGAATTCTTGAACCTCCCATGGTTCTGTGATGGGCGCTGCTCCCCATGGCCCTATGGTCTGGGCGCTGCTCCCCATGGCCCCTCTTCCCTTCCCTTGCATTCATCCTTCTCTTCTTCCCTCCGCCTCCCCCTTCTCCAGGCCACCATCCTGAGGACGGGTCCTCTGGCCGGCTCGGAGGACCGCCTGGCTGCTCAACAGCTGGGTGCTTATGGGATTTCCTCCTTCCTTCCCTTTGTTGCGATTCCTCTTCTACTCCCCATGTCCTCCCCCCCTTTCTCCAGGCCACTATTCTGAGGACGGGCCCTCTGGCAGGCCGGAGGACCGTCTGCTCAACAGCTGGATTGGGCGCGCATGGCCAAGAAGCGTGTGTCCTCTGCCCTGTGTCTCCACTCCTGTTCCTCTCTCTCCCTCCCCATTCTACCAGGCCACCATCCTGAGGACGGGTCCCCTGGCCGGCACGGAGGACCGCCTGCTCAACAGCTGGGATGGGCGCTCATGGCCAAGAAGCCGCACCTCCTCCTTCCTTCCTGTGTCGCCACCCCTCTTGCCCCCTCTCTCCCGTGCCATTCCCCCCAGGCGACTATCCTGAGGACGGGTCCCCTCGCAGGCACGGAGGACCGGCTTCTCAACAGCTGGGCACTCATGGCCAAGAAGTTCCCGTTTGTCCCCGTTATAGCAGGCGGCAAGACTCTGTAAGTGGCATTAGGATGTAAATTTTATAGATTATTTCCATTACAGCAGGGGGCAAGACATGGGCACATATGGCCAAGAAGTTCCCGTTCGTCCCTGTTATAGCTGGAGGCAAGACTCTGTAAGTGGTTACGTGGGGTTAAGAAATTGCTTGTCCCAGCTATTGCAGGGGGGTTCGTGTGTTTCTTCTGTTCCTAGTGTTTTAACACCCCCCTTCTCCGTCCCACCTCCCCACCCCCCACCACTCTCCCTTCATTATTCCCCTCCTCCAGCATTCAGCCAGTTTACGTGTTGGACGTGGCAACAGCAGTCAACGCCACAGTCACTGACGACGGCAGCAGCTGTGGGCAAACATACGAGCTGGGCGGACCGGAAGTGCTGCAAATCAGGGACCTGGTGAGTGTATTTCAAAGCCTTGGTAGGTGGGGTTCAGAGATCAAACGCCTGCCCCCCAACTTGTTGCCACCGTCACTGACGACGGCAGCAGCTGCGGGCAAACATACGAGCTGGGCGGACCGGAAGTGCTGCAAATCAGGGACCTGGTGAGTGAGTTGGGCTTTAATCCCTAGTTGGTCGCATGGGTTCCAGGGAGCTGGGAGTCAGGTGAACCGTGTCTTGGAAACCACTTGCCAGCACTCCTCAATACTCACCTTCCCCAGCTCCTTCCGTCGTCATTTGACTCAATTCATATTCCTCCTGTCCTATCCTTTCCTACCTCCCCTCCCCCCGCACAGGTGAACCGTGTCTTGGAAACCATTCGCCAGCACTCCTCCATTCTCAGCGTCCCTCTTCCTGTCGCCAGGGTGAGTGGGTGGTGCTGTTAGGTTAGCGAGCAATTCGAGTAGGAGGTGTAGGGGCGTTGAATGAAAGCTCCTGAATTTTACCTACTTAGTTTGAATAGAGCTGAGCCTTCTCCTCGGCGCTCCACCGTTTTCAGCATCATCCCTCCTATCCCCGTCTCTGTTGCTGTCATTTGCCGCTTCACATTGCTTTTTTAGAATGTCTGGAAACTCGGTTCTTTGCCGCTTCACATTGCTTCCAGAATTTGGTTTGATTTTTCCCATCCCTCAGGCCTTCGCCACGCCACGGGAGTTCCTCCTCCACCGCGTGCCAACGCCCATCCCCATGCATGCTGCCTCTTCCTCTTCCTCCATTCCCTCACCTCTTCTCCACCTCCTCTTCTCCACCATATGTTCCCCCCCGTCAGGCCCTCGCCACCCCACGGGAGTTCCTGCTGCACCGCGTGCCAACGCCCATCCCCAGCCCCACCATGTTCACGCTCGATTACATCAACTCCCTTTCCTTCCCCCACATCGTCTCCCCTAATGGTACAGTCTCTCACCATCCCATTCTCTCCTCGTACGGTAGGCCTTGTAACACCCTCTATTCCCTCCCAGTCAACGCTACTCCCTGCGATCGAGGCACCTCCCAACGCCCATCCCCAGCCCCACGCTGTTCACTCTCGACTGTATCAACTCCCTCTCCTTCCCCCACATTGTCTCGCCCAACGGTAGGCTCACGTTCTCTTGCTATGTTGCTCTGAGCTTCAGACCCCGGACAGAAGGCATCGTCTCAGGCGTGTGGCGGTTAAGTGTCCCTGTAACGCCCATCCCTCGTAACGCCCATCCCTCGTAACGCCCATCCCTCGTAACGCTCATCCCCAGCCCCACCATGTTCACTCTCGATTACATCAACTCCCTCAATGGTCTTCTCATTGTCCCATTGAAATCATCTGCCCCTCTGAATGGTGTGTCATGCTTTCTTCCATCCCCACGACCATCTCCCTAAAGCAATCACTTTGAAATATCTGGTTATTTTCCGTTTGCCATTCAATACCTCTCCCTTTCCCCGCTTCCTTCCCTTCCCCCCCATTTCCTCGCCTTGCTTTCCGTACCCATCCTCTTCCACCCCCAAGCGCTCACATTCAAGGACCCTGGGATCATCCCGCACCCCCTCACGGGGCTCACCATCGACTATCTCTTTGCTTACCTTCTCGCCCTTCCCCCATTGACTGTTTTTTCCCCTGCCCTTGTGTTTCCCCCCCTCTCCCCTCCCCCCAGCGCTCACATTCAAGGACCTTGGGATCATCCCCCATCCTCTCACGGGTCTCACCATCGACTACCTCTTTGCTTATCGCAGCGGCGGGCCACAGTACGGGCAGACTGTCGGGGAGAAGGTCTCTGGCGCTGGCTTCTAGGTAGTTACTGATAGTGGATTCCGAGTCAACAAAACAATACCGTAACCTCTCTGCCTGTTGGAAAGGAGGTCTCTGGCGCTGGCTTCTACCGTAGTTACCGATACTAATATTGGAATTGCAATTGCGTTCCTGCGAAGGTTCTCTCGTATGCATGTATGGGTTTAGTTTGTTAAAGAATAAGCTGCTGGAAGTATCTTCTCCTTCCTTCATCAACAGACTGAATGTTAGTACGTGTTATATTCATAGATGCACTAAGAAAAATCGAGCTTACTGTAATGCGTACGTGATTATTGTGTCGTCATTCGCATCACCATTCCCAACTTGCCTATCTTGTCAGTTCCCTGTCTCCTAGCTTTTTCGCTTAGCGCCATTTCCGCCGCCATGGCCGCCGCAATTAACGCTTCGGTCGCGGCAATCCCCGCAAAATTCGCTGCTCCGTCGAGCCTGTCGTCGTCTGCCACGTGGCAGAAACGCGCTGGTCCCTCGACGGCGTTTGTCAGCGGCCAGCCAGTTTATTCGTCGTTCGCCTCTCGTCGCATCCCCGTATCGCCTGCGACGAATGCAGGCGCGTGCGACCGCCGTGCGACGGCGCTCCGCGTCGTCGCCTCAGCTGTGAGCGACAAGCCTGCGACGTCGGCGACTCCTGGCGGCGGCGCGGGAGTTGGCAAGTCGTACAACGTCGTCGTTACGGGATCGACTAAAGGTTAGATTCCCCGTCTGTAGCTTGTGCTTGGTTTGGGTGGACTCACGATTATGTTACGCCGGCTGCATCGCGTTTTGACTCGATAACAAAGGGCCAATATAGAGTCGATTATCCACCCATTTTCTACGCCCTTTTTGTCCCCTTCGCCCTCCCATCCCCAACCCACCCCCCTCCCCCCCGCCCGCCCCCCCCCCCTCTTTCTCCCTCCCCCCTCCGCACCCTTCCCCTCCCCTCCCTCCCCCCGTTTCCCCTCTTTCCCTCTTCCCCATTCCCTCCTTCCTCCCCTCTCTTCTACTCATCTACAAGGCATTGGCCTGGCATTGGTGCGCGACTGAGGGCGGGAGACAGGGTAGTTGTAGTAATGATGGTGTTTCTTCCATCTTGTCTTTTTCTTCGTTTCTTCCTCTCCCATCTCCTCTCCTCTCCCCATCCCCCCTCCCCCAACCCAACTCCCCAAGGCATCGGCCTGGCATTGGTGCGCGAGTTTCTGAGGGCGGGAGACAGAGTCGTCGTGTGCTCGCGATCAGGTGAGAGGGTTGGAGATAGGTGGTAATGGGTGGTGGTGTGCGGTTGAAGGAGATGATGTGCGTGCGTGCACCACCCTGCCCTGTCATCAGGCCAATATTTTATTGCCATTTGTTGTTTTAGCCCCCTCCCAACTCTTTGCATATTTTCCTCTTTGCTGTTTTGCCCGTTCCCCTTTCTCCTGACCCTTTCCTCTGTACCTGCATCTCTTGCTTCTTCTCTTCGCCCCGTTCCCTTTTGAATTGAACTTCGTGTGTTACAAAAATAGTTTCTGAATTCCTTTCTCTTAAACTTATGCCATGTTTGTTGCTCCTGTACGATTCCTGAGTCGTCTCACAGAAAGACGCCTTATCCCGTGTCTGTCTTTGCATCCGGTACACGGTGTGGCATGAGATGAGTGCAGGCGAGAGGGTGGACGATGTGGTGGCTCAACTGCAGAAGGAGTTTGGCAAGGAAAACGTGGTGGTGAGTGGTGGAGAGTGGTGGGAGGAGGAGGTGGGGAGGGGAGTGGTGGGGAGTGGATTGGGTTGGTGGAGAGAGAGTGATGACGGGAAGTGGTGGAGTGTGGTGGGGAACTGTGAGTCTGATATTCTGTCCAGTTAACTCCCCGCTTGAATTCCTCAATCCTCTCTGTTCGCCGCTGTACTATACCGTCCCTTCCCCCGTTCACCCCCTTATTCCACCCCACTACTTCCCACCCCACCCCTCCCCACCTCACCACATCCTTTCTCAACCCTCAGCATCCCTCCTTAACCCAAAGCACCGCATGAGATGTCTCTAGAAGGGCGTTCTCAATCTGAACCTGCCTCTCGTGCTCCTTGGTGTGGCATGCCGGTTGTATGTCCCCCCACCGCTGCTCAACCCTCCCCATCTCACTCCACCCTACCCCACTCCACACCACTCCACACCACCGCACTCCACTCCAGGGCACCGCTTGCGATGTGTCCAAGGCGGAGGATGTGAAGGCTCTGGCCGACTTTGCTGTCAAATCACTCGGATCCGTTGATGTGTGGGTGAGTTGACCTGAATTGACTTGAGTTGACCACAGTTGACCTGAGTCAACCTGAGAGCTGACTTGATTTGACTTATTAGTTGACACAAAGAGTCAAAAATCGCTCGGCTCCATGATTTGTGGGTGAGTTAAATTGAGTTGAACTGAGCTGACCTGAGCTGATTTGAGTTGATCCGAGCTGACTTGAGCTGAACTGAATTGACCTGAGGTGAGTTGAGCTGTCGTGTGAAGGCTCTGGCTGGCTTTGCTGTCAAACCACTCGGATCCGTGCATATGTGGGTGGGTTGACTTGAGTTGACTTGAGGGGACTTGAGTTGACGTGAGCTTCCCTGCATTGACATCCGCTGTCTGTGTGTAGGGCTTTCCTGTCCACCCTGCACGCATGTATAATGTTTTCTGTTGTGCCTGCCTGCATGCGCTCATGTACCTATTCCCCGCATGCTTGTGTGCGTGCGCGTGCGTGTGTGCGTGTGAAAGCATGCTTGTGTGTGTGTCTGTGTGTGTGTGCACGCTTGTGCATCTGTGCATGTGTGTATGTATGTGTGCATGGCAGATCAACAACGCTGGCTCCAACGCATATGAGTACGCTCCCCTGGTGGAAGCAGGAGACGCGGCCATTGAGTGAGTGGGGGAGGAAGGAGTAGGGGACATCCGGAGGGCTGTGTGTGTCCGCATGTGTGAACGGGTCGTGGCAGGTCAACAATCCAGGCTCCAACGCGTATGAATGCACTCCCCTGGTGGAGGCAGGCAATGCTGCTATCGAGTGAGTGGGCATAGGGAGTGTGGTGTGGGATAGCCACAGAGGGCGAAGGAGGGGACGGAGTGTGAGGTTCAGCTGGGCCCAACGCGTATGAGTACGCCCCTTTGGTGGAGGCTGGAGATGCAGCCGTCGAGTGAGTGAAAGCAAGCAGTAAGGGATCGTCATAGAGTAAGAGAGCATACATACATGTGTGCATATCTGTGTGTGTGCATGGCAGATTAGCAATGCAGGCTCTAACGCGTATGAGTATGCTCCGCTGTTTGAGGCAGGCGATGCAGGCATAGAGTGAGTGAGGAAGGGGAGTGGGGGAGAGAGGGAGTGGGCATGGGGCATGAGTATGAGTACGTTGAGTGGGCATGGGGCATGAGTATGAGTACGTTGAGTGGGCATGGGGCATGAGTATGAGTACGTTGAGTGGGCATGGGGCATGCCCCTGGTGCAGCAGGCTCCAACGCGTATGAGTACGCTTCGCTGGTGGAGACAAGCGATGCAGCCATCGAGTGAGTGGATAGATAGCAAGCAGTAGGGGGTAGCCATAGAGTGGGTGAGTGCATGAAGCGCGGGTTCAGCAGGCTCCAACACGTATGAGTACGCTCCTCTGGTGGAGGCAGGATATGCGGCCTTAGAGTGAGTGAGCACAGGGAGTAGGGGATAGGCACACAGAGGAAAGGGGGAGAGGGAGTGGGAGTTGATGTCATTAGGGTTCCAATTCGTATGAGTATGCGCCCTCAACGAATTGGAACGAGTTTGTCTTTTGGTGGAGACGGGGGATGAAGCCATCGAGTGAGTGGGAGCTAGCAGTGGGGGGTAGCCATGGAGAGTGAGGGAAATAGTTCAGCGAAGGAGGAAGGGGGGGGAGAGGGGGGGTGGGGGGGAATTGGAATTGCGGTTCATCGTGCGTTAATGCGTATGAGTGATGCTGTGTTTCCGCCAAGCCATGAGCCTCATGAGGGATCATCCCAGTGGGGGACGATTCCCAACTCCCTTCCCATTTCCCTGCTCGTTCTCCTGCCCCACCTCCCCTTTCCTCCTACCCCTCCTCCACAGGGAAATCGTGCGAACCAACGTGCTGGGAGTGATGCTGTGCTGCCGCCAGGCCATGCGGCTCATGAGGGAGCAGCCCGGAGGGGGGCACATATTCAACATGGACGGTGCTGGGGCTGATGGCAACGCCACTCCGCGGTGAGTCTTCTAGCTGCTCTCTCTGCCCTGCACTGTGAAGCAGTCCTATCTGCATATGTATCACACACACACACACCATGCGACTCATGAGGGAGCAGCCCGGAGGGGGTCACATTTTCAACATGGATGGAGCTGGTGCCGATGGCAACGCCACTCCGCGGTGAGTGGCATGCTCTGTTGCTATGTCGGCCCTGCTCTGTACTGTACTGTATAGTACACACAGCCTCATGAATGGGCAGCCTAGCGGAGGGGGTCACATATTCAACATGAACGGTGCTGGTGCTGATGGCAACGCCACTCCGCGGTGAGTGGCTATGTGTGTGCTGCTCTTTCTGCCCTGTATCACACGCGATGAGTTGCTCATTCCCTCTGTCCCATCCCTCCCTCCCTCCTCCCCTCTCTCCTCCCTACCAGTTTCGCAGCGTACGGAGCAACCAAGCGCAGCCTGGCTCAGTTCACCAAGTCACGGCTAAGCTTCCTTCCCCTGCTCTGTGCCCTGCCCGTCTTCCACCTATCTCCCCATCCCTTCCCCCCTATCAGCTTCGCAGCCAGCAACCAAGCGCAGCCCAGCGCAGTTCACCAAGTCACAGCTAAATCCCTTTCCTTACTCCTTCCTTTTCTTCTTCTCTATAATGCCTTCTCCTCCGCCCTGCCAGCTTCGCAGCATACAAAGCAACCAAGCGCAGCCCAGCGCAGTTCACCACATCATTGCACGCAGAGAAACACACCCCTTGTTTCTTACCCTGCTCCTTGTCTATCTACCCTCTCCTCTTTCTCCTCCTCCCTACCAGCTTTGCAGCATACGGAGCAACGAATCC